TACACCCTTTTATATCAAGTGACTTGAGCATCCAAGGATTTTGGTATCTTCAGGGGGTCCTGGAACCAATCCCCCACGGATACTGAGGGATGACTGTATACATGACTTAGAGCACACAGATTCTTTTAAGGGTTCAATCTTTAACTTTGTATGTACAAGTGTACACACATACACATGACAGCATAGGTTTTTTCCCTGATAATTTTCTCTAAACTCTCCCATTATTCTACAGACAGCTGCATTTTAAAAAGAATCCCAATTAAGCCAAATGAATCTTTAATGAATATTTAATTGGGACCTTTCTAGACATGTAATAGTTGGAAAAAAAGATGAGCCTTTTTACAAACACACCACAGAGTTTAAGAAGATGGAAAAAGTCAACATATGAGTTTCCTGTCTCCCGCCAGTTCCCTTAAACCATTTCTGCTTTTCATTGCTTCTCTTTTTCTTGCATTTCTGCATCTATGGACTCTGCTGTAGACTCCAGCAGTAAGGCAGAGACACACTGCTGTCTGTGGGCAGCCTGCGGGTCCTTCCTGACCTCCCCAGGATCTGACACGGTTTGGGGCAGAGAAGAGGCTCAGAGGCCTAGTGGCCCAGCATCTCCTACAGATGCTTTTGATTTTTCCTGGAAGGCCCCACGGTTTGTGTAAGGGGTCCACAGACTTTCTCAAAAGGCCAGAGAATAAATATTTTAGGTGTTGCGGGCCACATGGTCTCTTGTCACAACTTCTCATTTCTGCAGGTGTAGTGCACAAGCAGCCACAGACCATGCATAACCAAATGAGCGTGTCTGTGTCCCAATAAAATTTTATTTACAAAAACAGGCACCATCCAGTGGTGAGAAGAAAATAACAAGTGTCGAATAAGCCATCCAAAGTGACAGCCTATAATCCTGATCAGCCCATCATCCTGACCCCTCTTCTCCCACTGCCATGCCATGTCTCCATGTGGGATTTTCACCATTTCCTAAACTTCTACTTAAACCTCACCACCTCTCACTTTCTCCTTTTCCCCTCCCCCACCCTTCCCAACTCCTTCTGGTTCAACTGACTCACTTCTACCCCATCATGATTCTCAGGCATTATTTTCCCTACAAAACTGTCCTTTGGGCTGGCCAGGCCATGGATACATCTCCCTGCCCGCTGCTATCATCCGTCTCCTTACACTGCAGGACCTAAACATCTAGTGCCTGTCTTGTGCACGTAACCCACAGTCTATCCTATCAAGTGCCTGAGCACCTAAAGGTCTGAGTGCACACAAGAACATTTAAGAATGTTTGTGTGTGTGTGTGTGTGTGTGTGTGTGTGTGTGTGTGTGTGGAGAGGGAGTGAGGACTGCTGGATTACAGCACTGAGCCATAAAACCAATATCAGCAATTTTATTTCAGGTGGTCAGGATCATGTATGTGCTTGGGCTCAAAGTGGAAAGGCCCTGAAACAGCACCAATCTGTCCTGACTTCTGGGAAAATATCTAAAAGTGCATGATGGCAGCTCAGCACCAACAACAGGGAGATTTGTCACCACATCATTGCTGTAGTTCCAACAGAAGTGGCAGCTACATTTTGAAATCCCAGCCAGGGAGTTGTCTTATATCTCAAAAGAAGGCCTCTACTGTGCATAGATTTCTAATTGCTGTATGTATGATATCCGAATTTTACAATCCAGACTTTCCACCCATCAATTCAGAATGGCCTTCATGATAATCCGTTTCTATGAAGTAACCATTTCTCATTAGGCAGCTGCTGGTGAAACTTACCATCCTAGCAATGTGGCATGAGAAAATGACCTTCTTGCTTTGATAAAAATATTGTTACACTAGATACAAAATATGTTTCTACTGTTAAACTATAACAATAAGACGCTGGAAGGTTTAATAGCAGGGGAAGGGTGGCCTCCCCTGATAATGGATAATCATTAAAAAAGGAGCCAGAGCTGAGAAATTCAATTATCCCTGTTCTGCAGATAAAAACCAGAGGTGCTCCTCAAACATCATGAAGTCTCTGCTGAGTTTTCAGCAGGCCCTTCAGTTTTGGAATAGGAAGAGAAGTTTCCCAACGTATAACAAGATCTTAAATCTTTCAAGTGTACTATGTGAAGCAAACTTTAAATATTAATATGAGTGCTACCTGCATACACATTTTGTCTTGTACTCAAACTATTCTACCAAGAAGAGAGTACAATACTAGTGGTGAAAGCACCAAGTACAAAAGCTAACTAGTGCTTACTGAGTGCTTACATCGTGCCAGAGACCTTGGATTATTTCTTTTAATTCCAACAATCACACCATGACATGAGTACTATTATTGCTGCTCCTCTGTTTCATAGGCAAAGAAGCAAATTTTGAGACACCAAAGCCAGCATCTGGCAAAAGTAGGATTGGAATCCTGGTTGGTGGCCTTTGGTCCATACAAGGACCTCTATGCAAGGGTGGTTCCCATGGCAGGGCATGGTGACTTACGTCCATAATCCTAGCACTTTGGGAGGCTGAGGTGGGAGGATGGCTCGAGGCTAGGAGTTCAAGATCAGCCTGAGCAACAGCAAGACCCCATCTCCACGAACACTAGAAAAATCAGCCAAGTGTGGTGGTGCACACCTGTAGTCCGAGCTACTTCGGAGGCTAGGGCAGGAGGAGCACTTGAGCTCAGGAGTTTGAGGTTAGAATGAGCTACAATGACACCACTGCACTCTAACCAGGATGACAGAGTGAGACCCTGTCTCAAAAACAAAAATGAACAAACAAAAACCATGCATCAGAAGCACATTTTGGAGGCAGGAGGAATGCAATGACTTTCCACATCACAAACAAATCAGACAGAGACAGGGAAAGCTTTTAGGATAATGCTATCACTGTTCACCTCTGTCTTCTGCCCTCCCACCACCTCTAAGAAAGCTTTTTAACACTGCTGGAAAATAAGGCAACAGAGCAGATGACACAATAAATGTAGTGAGGGAGGCAGAATGGTAAAAGGAAGAGAGTCCTTGATTTAGAACTACAGTGTTTGTGTCCTGGCCCACGCTAAAAACTGAGTCTCATGTCCCTCTTTATAAAACTGTCATAAGATACACCTTGCTCTCTTGTGGTCATCAGAATAGTGAGAATACATAAGGGAATGTGTCTAGCACTGTGTTTGGCAGAGAACAGGTACTACAATATTTTTTTCTTCCTCCTTTATCTTCCATTCCCATTTCAAAATGCAAGCAGACTGCTCTTTGCTATACAGGGTAAATCTTCCCTAGACACCTCCCACACACTCACCCACAGAGAAATACCTTCCAAGGTGCATCTCTCTGCTGTTGCTGTGAAAAGAGTTTTTCTGTCACTCATAATCTACCTTCTATTAACAGTGCATACAATTGTCTAGATACGGCAAAAATTTCATATTTCCAATGTAAAGGCAACTATGAGGTAGTATTTCAGTATACTAAAGCAGTATAGGAGGGGAAAAAAAGATCATTAAAGCAAATACTGCAGAAGATTTCAAAGCAAGAAGTATTAAAATATGCAAGCATTTTGATCAGTAACTAAAGAGTATACTTGATTCTATGACTTTCTCTCTCATACAACACAAACTGGTAGACTAAAAAAGTCAGAGCACAGTGTATGAAATATTCAGATTTTTTTCATGAAATACATTTTCAGAGGGCTAAAAAACTACAAAAGAGAAATTATGGGACATGCAAATCTTTCAAATCCTCCATCAATGACCTTTGATAAAACTCTGGCTTGACACCAGAATTGTATGCCTTAAAAATAAAATGTTCTGAGTAAAGCTAAGAAGTTTTCATTTTCAGCCTAAAAAAAAAAACCCAAAAAGCTGATTTAAAAGTAAAATGGCTTTAGTGAAAAGTTCACAGTTGTGCGATATTGATCTCTGAAACTTTAGGCATCTCTCTCTCTCTCTCTCTCTCTCACACACACACACACACACACACACACACACACACACACACACATCTCATCTTCTTACAGACCATGGCTCTCTATCACAAGTGCACATGAGTCCTCTCATCTCAACCAAACTACAGGTCTCAAAAGTGTGAAACATACTGCCCTTAAACGTTTACAAGAAAGCTGCTAACCAACATCCTTATGGCTCGTCAACATTCACAGCGCAGACCACAAACTTGCTTCCTAAACCAAAAAAAGGTCCCCATGAAATGAAGGTTCCTTCCACACTCACAAGAAAGGTTTCAGTTCTTTCGCCTTTTTTTTTTAAGACAAGTAAAAAATTAACCGAACACACGTTTTTCCATTCTTATATATTCTAACCAAAAAATCCCTCCATTTTCTTCTTCCTTCCTTTACGTTAGAGAAATTCTTAATAAATACGCTTGCTTGAAAGGCATTAGGAATTCATTTTGAGGACTGACTTTTTAGAAGAGAGATGAGAAGGCAGAGTTGGGCTGAAATTTTCAAATTCCTGCACCGCAAGGCAATTATGCATATCTGTTTTCAAACAATAAAAGCGTCTGGAATGCACAATGATGCGAAGCAATGCGAGGCTCGAGAAACAGGCACGATGCAGCTGGTGTGCCCCGTGTCACCAAGGCTGCCTGGGCAGCACTCGAGCCAGAGTCACGACACCGCAAGTCCTAAGCTCGCTGCAGCCACAAATCGCATCCGGTCCCAAAGCCAACGGGCTCGGGACCTGGCGGCTGGAGGGCGACTGCTGAGAAGGAAGCGGACAAACACTGGGCACACCTCTCGGAGGGCGAGGCCGGGGAGAAAGTGAGGGGAGACTGCGGGAGCGCGGGGAAGACGCGCGGCGGGTCCTGGGGAGGGAAAGGACAACGGAGCGGGGGTGGGGGTGGAAAGCGGCGAAGTGGCAAAGGCGCAGAAGCGCGGGCTGCACATCAGGCCCGGGGAGGCGACGTGGGGACCGGGAATGAGTGACCGAGGGGAGGGGGGTTTCTGGGGGCCAGCTGCCGGTGGAAGCGCGTGAGCCCGACACAAAGTGCGCGCGGCCGGGGTGAGGGAGCAGGGTCGCGTCGGTCACCTGTATTGTTTGAAAAGCTGGTCCGACTCCCTAAAGCCATTGTTGAGCAGCATGTTGATGCCGGCCAGGGCCAGCTCCGCGTCCTGCAGGGGCGCCGCCGCCGCCGCCTCCGCGGCGTGCGAGTCTCTGTCGTCCCGGCGCCGCGGTCGCTGCTGCTCTGAGCCGGCCATGGGCGCGCGAGGCCCTGCGCTGGACGGAGGCGAGGTCGGGAGGCAGCTGCTGCGGCCCCGTGCGCGCCCGGAGCCCGGCTCAACCTGCCCGGAGCCGAGCGGAGCGGGGCGGCGGGAAGGGGAGGGAGGGACGCGGAGGGAGGAGCCGCGGCCCGGCTGCAGCGCGGCTGGGGACGTGGGCGCCCGGCCGCCGCCGCCCGCCACCGCGGGGATTACTCAGCAGCCGCCCGCCCGCCCCTCTCGCTGCCTCCGAGACACCCGGCTCGCGCCGGCACCGAAGCGGAATCCGTTTCCGGGTGTCTCCAACCCCGCCAAGCCGGTCCCCCAGCGACTGCCGCCTCCGCTTCCTGCAGCCCCCGCGCGCCGCCCCGGCCCCTCCCAGCCCGGGTCCCCACGCCGCGCTCGTCCCGGGCCAGCGCGCCGAGGCTGCTCGGACACACGCGAGACCCGGAGCCCGGGACTCTCCACCCTCCCCTAAAAGGGCCGGACCCGGGAGTTGCGGGCAAGCCGGGGAGCGCCGCGGGAGGGAGGGCGCAGAGGGACAGCGAGCGGGTTTGAAAAGGGCACGGGGAACCCCGCCCGGGCCGCACGGCTGAAGAGCAGCTGGCGCGGCCGGCGCGCGCGCTTTGGCCACTAGCGCCTGAAACCCCGAGCAGCCCCCGCCCGCGACCCCCAACTTCATCCCGATCCGGGGGCCGCCCACTAGGACAGAGGCAGCCAATCCCCGAGGGGGAGGACGGCGGGGCGGGGCCTCCGGGCACCTGCCGGACCGCTCCCGGGAACCCGCGCCGAGAGATTGGAGCGAGAGCTCCCGGATCCGGGTGCCACCCACTCGGGCCCGCCACCAACGTTTGCGCGATGGGGCAGGAGGAGAAATGGAGACCCGTATGCAATATACCTAATATTTAAAAGTTACAAATTAAGCTGTTAAAATGAGTTCTGACAATTATACTTTCGTACCAATGAAACAGAAAAATAAGCGTAAAGCTGTGGTTTCATATGACCAAATGTACGCAAATTATCAAAGGTGACTGAATTTAATCGTCGTTGTGTAGGTATCACTGTTCTGATGATGGGCTGGTGATGTCTGGATGTATAGCATTATAGAAACAAATGCACACTTCATAAGTCATTGTTTTTCGTAAATTTATTTTTCTCTACTTTAGTAAAATCACTAATATATTGTTACAATTAAGGTTATGTTTTTAATGCCAAATTAGCCCAAACCTTTCTTGAGTCATAGTTCTTAGAGTGTAGTTTATTAATTTCAACTTGGAGAAACTTTGCTGGAGCATTTATGACAAAATTATTTTTAAAAATTAAAGTGACATTCAAGTTGAGAAATAACCTATGAATTTTAAATATTATGTCCTGCATTATAATGGGACCCATATGATAAATTATCACAGAAAAAATGCTTTTATTTATTTTGTGAATTGTGCCAACCTTTGCAATATCTAAATGCATACAGTGTTTCCAACATTCATATATAGAAATTTAAGAGTAGTAAGAATTGCTGCCATCCTTAACTGTGTAACTGTTGCAAAACCATGCTAATTCTCCAGTACATCTGAAACCACAAGTTGTGGGTGATTCTCAGCCCTGGGAAACAATACTTTGCAAAGCAGGGCAGTCATGGCATTCATGCTGAGAAGGATTTGACAAGTTGATCATTTTTTAATCTAAGCACTCTTGGATTTAACTTAATGTTAGTCTCTAACATCAGCAGTGTCACAGTCCTCCATGGCGTTCGGAGGCTGTAGTCTTTTGTGTTTAGGACCTTGAGCTTTAGGAGGAGAAGCATTCCCTGGGGCCTGAATAGCGTCTATCATGAGAATGGATGTTGAGGGTTACTTGATCACTGACCTGTCATTGAGTGCAGATCCTGAGTAACAGGATGTGTATGTGTTCTTTAATACATTTATGTGTGTGTGTGTGTGATGGGCAGGGCCCTCTAAAGCCATTCTTAAGGACTGCAGTGCCCACTGAGGCCCACATGAGGCCATTGCCAGCGAGGGGGCCCCTGGCCACTCACTGCCAGTGATAATGGGAGTTGCCACTCTGACAATATGCATAGCACTCACAGGCTGCCTGAATTTTGGATCAGTGGAACCATTCACCACCAAATCCCTGAAACAACTTAGTCAATAAGTGAGGGAAGCCAAGAGCGCGATACTAAACTTAGGATATAACCCGCCCTCCTCCAGCTGGAGAAGACAGCCAAGCACAGCCCTCTATGTCCCTATTACAGGGGAGAAAAAAAAAATTTCAAGGAATTGATGATACAATGGACATTGTTAATAAGTTGTACTTGGGGCCTTGCAGCTCAAGATGGGGGAGGGGTGAGCGAAGTGAAAGCAATCTTTGTGGGGCTAGTTCTGCTTCAAGAATCTCACACACTTGGTTATGCAGACTTAGGGAAATTTAATTGTTTTTTTTTTCTTTTTTGTATCATGTCAGCAGATGTATATTGGTTTTGTAACTTTTTTAAAAATTCTAGTATATCCCACAAATATCAAATTTGATGCTTGTGATTACTCTAATAACAACAACAGTTTCTATAACAATAACTTTTTTCAAGTTTTTTTAAATTTTCAAATGCCAGGAATGGTGCTAAACACTTTATATACCTTTAACTTTTTGTTTTATTTCAAAAAATTTAGGAGGTAGGAGTGTTTTTGTTACATGGATGAATTGTATCATGCTGAAGTCGGGGATTTCAGTGTACCTGTCACCAGAATAGTGTACATTGTACCTGATAGATAGATAAACTTAACTGTTGAACAATTAAGGCAAGGTCCAGCGCAGGTGCCCCATAATAGGCAGGGGTGGTGTGGACAGAGGGATAACTCCGCCATGTGATATAAACCTGACATGTACAAAATGTGGTTTAATCAGATACCAAAACAATTAGATTAGCATCATCATGATGAATGGACATTTACAAATATTTGCCCTGTGGTGAATGATATACTAAAAGGGTTCAAAATGGGCCCCAAAATCTGAAGGAAGAGAACACATGGACCAGTAATACTGTGGCATCTGCAGTTGACATTGACACCTGCCCAGGGTTTACCCTGCAGTGGGGAATTAAGGCTGTGTTTTCTTCACTAGATGATAATGGCAGATTATAAAGGCAGATAATGATGGGCATTTAAGAGGTCATAGTGTGTTTACCCACAAAAGGAAGAAAAATCTAGATTACTGACACTCTGGGCACCACACGCTTGACATTGTGAGATTATCATCACCTTCCTGCAAAATTAATGCAGTGTTCAGTGCACTTGGCTTCAGCCAAATAGGATTTATTCAAGTGTTTCCTTTGGAAGTTGATAGAGGGAAAGGAAAAGATAAAAGAAGAGAAAAAGAAAAGTTAGCAAATTTGGGAAAGAACCAATTTCCTTTCTACACACCCTGTGGGTATCGCCAGTATTTTGTGGGTTTTCATGTGATTTTGTTATGAAAATGAAAGTCCAAATGATCAGTAAAAAAGTTTTAGGCCTGTGTGTTACCCTTTACCTGGTAGGTTTTTCCATAAGTTAAGATGTCTGGGTTGCAAGTATCAGAAAAACCTGACCCAAACTGGCTCAGAAAAGCAAATTTATTGATTTATGCAGGTTCCCCAAAATGAGGCTGTATCCATGGCTCCAACATTGTGACCAAGACCCAGTTTCTCTTCTCCACGTCTTAGCTCTGCCACCTTGGTGCTTAGCGGTCTAGTCTCAACAGGCCCTCTTGTCCTGGTCCCCAAATGGCTTTTGGAAGCTCCCAGACCCACATGCCTGCTGGTCACACCCAGCAGGAAAGCTTCACTTCTCTAATAGCTTAATCAAAATCCCCTAATTAAATCTCATTGGCTTTGATTGGCCTGATTGCAGTCAGGTGCCCACCCTTGGATCCAATCAATGTGGCTACAAGAGGAGGATCATTCTGATTGGATTAAGCCAGTCAGAGCCTGCTCCAACACCTGGAATAGTGAAACCAATTTCACGCAAACCACCTGGCTGGGAAATTCCAGGTCTGTTAGGAAAAGAGAGGTAGGGAATGGATGTCCGAGAGACAGTCAACAAACATCCCCTACCCTTGTCTTCCTAAACATATTTTGAGTTTTTAGAATTACATTTTAAATGCATTTAGAAAATAAAGTATAAGAAAATCTTATTGTGTGTGCTTTGGTTATATTAAATTTTCTTGGTAATGCTAACGATCATGCCTTCATGTATCTTTTTGTAAATCTGCACTGTTGGTGAAATAAATACAGGTTCCAAAAAATGTTTGGAATTCTAAGAAGGAGAAGAGTAGGGAAATTAATGTCACCACATTTTTATGTTGTGTTAGCTTTATCATCAAATTCAGCCCTTTTGCTCAACTGAAGGTGAAGTAAAATTTATTTACCTGCTTTTAATTAAAAGGCAAATTAAGTCAAGTGTTGATATGTAAAACCATACAGCAAGTTCCTTCCTTTTCTGCTCACAGGTGGGTCACTAGCTTGACTCTACTAAGGAGGGGTACGTGTGGTGGGGCCATCAGAGTCCACCTGGCTGTTTTTCCAGTTGGATGCGTGTCTGTGAGAGGACATTCAGGCTGCCCTGGAGACCACAGTGGTCAACAGGGGACAGGAAACCATCCCCCTTTGAACTGGACACTTCCTCTTCTGCCTTTCCTGAAACCAAATAGCCACTGGAGTGCAGTAAGGGTTTAAGCAGGTATTTACAAGAGATCATTGTTCCACTGCTGTACGGATTGAGGGGCAAGACAGGGGAGGAAGGCACTGTGTCTGTTCTCCCCTGGGTAACTCATCAGTGGACTCTCCTGCACCAGCCTTTGATTGGGGTGTGTCTTTGAGTGGGACTGCAGGTCCTCTCTTGGTCTTCAGATGGTGTCTCATCCTCTCTCTCTCTTCCCCTCTCCGACCCCTCCCTTCCCTTTAACCCATGTCCTTCTTTTTCATTGATGTTCCTTGGATCAACCATTCCTCCATCTTCCTTACAGAAATAATCACGTTTCCATCTCCCTTGGTGCCTTCTCATGACTTGCACATTTTGCAGCCTCTGGTGAATGTCCACGACTTTTCCTCTCTGTCCACTGACTATTGCTCTGTAAAGGGAAAGGTTGTCTCTAGTTTCAAGATCTGGGTGTGCTGAGTCCCTGGGGAGGAAGTAGGATGTGCTCTGGTACCATGCATGGGGGCAGAGAGAGAGAGAGAGCTGTCAAAAGATATAGCAGGTTCCAGTCAGTGCAGCAGTGGGTTTTCTCCTGGGGTATCTAAAACAAAACATATCTTGCCACTGTGATTAATTTCTATCTGGATTCCTCATTTTTTATCTAAACAAGAAATTTATTTACCTCCTATTTATGTGACTTTATTTTGTTTTTTACTAACAATCCTGGCCTTATCATGCTAAGATATTATTAATCTTTTCCTACTTAAATGGAGGGCAAATGACACATTTTCTCTCTAATCTTTAGGTTTCTCTCCTGACTGCAGGAGGAAGGAGGATACACCGTTCAGTTCACATATGTGAATCTGTTTGGGGTGGAAGCAGCAGCAGCATTGGCATTTGCTTCCCAGGGTGGATGTGTTTCCAAATCTTAAACTGTACTATGA